GTCACACATGATGTGTTCAAGGACCGTGAGAAAGATGATAATCTGACTACTATGACGTGTTTTTTACAGCTTCTGGCTGATGAACGGTGCTTTAGACCAGCGCTGGGTCTTTGGGGTTCAGAGGGTTGAAGGGAACGTTATTTTACCCATCATGCCTCTCTGTTGTTTTTGCCACAGAGACCACGGGGGTCATGGTGAGGGTGGGGGGTCATAGGACTCTGCTGCCTGGCTCAAGGACAGTGAGGCAGAAGCAGTTCAGAGTCGTGATGGGTTCAGTTTCTTTCTGCTCCTAAAATGAATTATTCTGAATGAAATGTGATTATACTTCAGTAGAAGCATTAATACCACAGTTTAAATACAACGTTTCAAAGTTCTAGTACACAAGTATCAGAATCACAATGTACTTGAGGTGCTCAATGTAACATTTCACAATAATATACATGATGTAATTATATTCTCATGTCTATATATAAATATATATAAATATATATCAACATATATAAATATATATAAATATATATACATATATATAAATATAAATATATATATATATATATATAAATAAATACATAAACATATATAAATATATATAAACATATATAAATATATATAAACATACGTATATAAATATATATAAATATATATAAATATATATAAATATATATAAACATATATAAATATATATAAACATATATAAATATATATAAATATATAAACATATATAAATATATATAAATATATATAAACATATATAAATATATATAAATATATATAAACATATATTACCAGTTATCGCTATATATAAACATATATAAATATATATAAATATATATTTCCATCTAACTAAAGATGAATGTAGTTCAGTAAAAAGAACTTATACCTCAAGACTTTACTTAAGTACTGCAAAAGTTACTTTGTGATACTTCTCATAAGATTGAGATCAGCAATATTAATATAATATCACAGATTACTGTCATATATATACTAAACTGAAAATAAAAAGATGAAACAGTTAAAAGTTTAAAACAAAACTTTTATTTCTCTGAAGATACATAAAGTTGTTAGTGACGTGATGGAGGAGGAATGTTTATTATCATTACGTTATGATTATTATTGTTATTACTCGTCTGGATGATACAGATTCTGACGAAACGATGACATCCTGAGCTCCTTTTTCCAGAATGATCTCAGTTTTGGAAAAACTCTGTCATTTTATCATCTGTTATGATGTCACTTTTATTTTTGTCAGGGTTACAAAGTCTTTTATTCTTCTTTAGTACTTTTACTGCAGTAAAGGATCTGGATACTTCTTGTACTGTCTCTTAAGTACAACAAAGAAACTAAATCATTTATTTGCATTTAGTGAGAGAAAATGTTTTAATTCTGGTTCAATTTGTGACAGTTTGGAAAAGTGAAACTGATCTCAGACCTTCTTCTATTAGAACCTTTAACTTAAAATTATACTGCTGATACAGCTTCTTCTTTAACTTCTTCTTCTTTAACTTCTTCTTCTTTAACTTCTTCTGTGTTTCAGATCTTCAGCTCTGCTTCAACTTCGACACCAAGAACTTTAAGATCTTCTCCGGTTCTAAAGAAAACCAGTTTGGATACACAGTCCAGCAGCACGAGGCGGGAGGACGCCAGTGGTGAGGATCCCAGTACACAAAGTACACCCAGTACACCTAGTACACAACACATAATGTTTTATTTGTGAAGACACCAAATCGCTTCACTTTCACACGAAATACCAAACAGAATACATTGATTATATGTGTTTATGTTCATAAAAATAACCCAGAAACAACCTGAAAGAAAAGGTGTTGATGTTTCATCCGGATGAATCTGGATGAATCCGGGGATTCTGGGGTCTAGATGTAACCTTAAATGCAGCAGGTGCCTCTGGAAACAGGCGGAGAAGTTAAACTAGGAGAGAGAATCTTGCTCCAGACTGTTGTTTGTCTGTCTGCTGTGAGGTTGAGCAACATTCTCTGTTTTTATGACCTGGAACCATTTGAGCGGTGATGAAAACCCTCTCAGTCGTCCAGGATTACACAATCTCTCTGAGCCTTTGAAGTCGCAGGTAAATATGTGGAAAGTATTTCGTCTCGCGACCGGCTTCTCCTCCTGCGTCCCGAGGCGGAGCGCTGGATGTGGAAACTATGCGCTGTGGTTCAGTCACTCCTCAGAAGAACATCACGCCGCTCTGTGGGGAGTTGTTTCTCTGCACACCTTAACATCTCAGGTGTTTGTCTGACGTTCTTATCCAGACGACGTGATCCGTCATCAGTGATAGTTCTCAGTACCCGTAAACCATCAGGGTCCTGGTGACCTGGGACTAGATTTTCATGTCCAGAAAACATTGAGAATCTTTTCACTTTTCCCACACAAAGACAACCTTTGGGTTTGTGAGAGAATCTGTAAAGCTCACAGGTAACGCTGGAACTCGGAGGTTATGTCACCTTTCACTCCAGGTTCACTAGAGATCAAATAATGAAAACAGTTAACAGGCAAACCCTAAAATCAGTCCACACTGACTCGGTTTCACGCGGGACACAGACAGAGGTCTCCTGGTGAAAGTCCTGTGCTTGTCAGGACTCCTGCCACCAGGACTACGTCCACCAGAGGGGGCCCTGTCGGGAACCAGGAGCTCCCGGTTGTGTTACGAGTTGGGAGTGAGAACATTATACGAACAGTAGAAGAAAGACCTGAACTCAATGTTTCCATTAGTAATGTTAATAGTTATTAATGTGTCCGACACAAACCTGAAGCAAGTTTTAACCCTCGGAATCATTAAGATCTCAGAGACGAAGATAGAAACAACCACAACAATCCTGAAGTAAAGTGTGTGTGTGTGTGTGTGTGTGTGTCACTGTGTCTGTGTGTCTGTCTGTGTGTCTGTGTGGGTGTCTGTGTGTGTGCGTGTGTTTGAGGAGGCTGTTAGAGGTCAAACCCATTGACCTGTGTTGACCTCTGAGGTCGGACCTCCAGCGCTCTGTGTTTACAGAGACGAGTGTTTATGTCGCCTGGTGGTGTCACGCTGGGATCAGTGTGTGTGACAGAGTGTGTGTGTGTGTGTGTGTGTGTGAGTGTGTGTGTGTTTTTTTCTCTCCTCACATTCAACACGCGTGCTGACCGACCACTCCGCCGCCGCTGAAACCAAACTGTTAGCGCGACCGACAGGTTGTTGGTTTTTCTTGGCTCGTTGAGGAGTTCAGTGTGAAATTGTTTCCAGCTGCAGCAGCAGAGCCTGAACGCACCACAACGGCTCAAACAACAAACATCTGCAGACTGTGACGCGTTCACTGTCAGACCTCTGACATGTTTAACGGTGATTATAAAAGGAACTCATGGCTGTAACATAAAACATGAGCCTTTACTGAACGCATCGAATAACCAATAAAACAATGACATCACATCGTTGTTATTGTTGTTTAGCTCGTCAGTTATCGGCTGTTTCCTCACTTTAGTCTCATGAACTCTCTGGAAGTCACTGAATTCTTGGTTTTGGCACAAGAAGACTTCATGGATATAACTAAAGATCCAGAGCTTCCTGGTAGAACCACTGATTCTAAAACCAGATCGAGGAAGCAAAGTTGTTCTGACATATTGAACAGAGATCTGTGTTGATGACCAACAGGAGAGAGATAAACACATCCCTCTGAAGAAGAAGATTCTCTCCTCCTTTATCTGTGAACCCATCTATGGATAGTTAGTGTAGATGTGGACGAGGAGACACACTAGCGCTCTACTAGTATACATATATATACATATACATATATATACATATATATATATACATATACATATATATACATGGATATATATCAAACACAATACATCTAAATTAGACTTAATTAAGCAAGTTAATTCAGCATCATGGTGCAGCAGGGTTAGTAACCCGTCACCGTGTGTGTGTGTGTGTGTGCGCGCATGTGTGTGTGTGGGTGTGTGTGTGTGTGCGCGTGTTTGTGCGCGCGCGCGTGTGTGTGTGTGTATGTGTGTGTATGTGTGTGTGTGTGCAGGTTGCTGGTTGGAGCTCCCTTCGAGTCCACAGGGAAGCAGCAGACTGGTGATGTGTTCAGGTGCCCGCTGGACACCAGAAACTCTGCAAACTGCACGAGACTGAATCTCGGTGAGCAACACGTTCATCAACATCACAGCAGGACTCCTTTAATGAAGTCAGAGTAGAAAGAACACGATGTGGGTAAAAGTACTTCAGGTATCCAAAAGAAGAAGTATTTACTATGCAGAGAGGTGAAAGTGTTTTCTTGTTTATCATTATTAAGTTATTATCTTGTGCTAGACATTTATTTTGAAAATTGTATTGAAGCTGAGCAGTTAGAATAACTTCTCTGTAGGTTACAGAGCCGTTAATCTACTTCTAATCATGATTAAGAAGAAGTACAATACATTAAAAATACTCTAGTAAAGTAAAGACACTAGATTACTACATTAGTAAAAGTAAAACATCACTGATGTAATTTAAATGCATAATTCCAAAAGAAGATATTCTACTAATCTATCCCACCAATATCACCGTTTATACTCTCTACATATTTACGTTTAATTAATAAAGAAATGATCAAAAGCCTCAGTGTCACGTGTGTTGACATAACATGTTAAACATTAAAATACAAAAAGCAGCAGTTTTAATGAATCTAATGAAAAAGAGAATATTTACATTCTCCTGCTACTGATCGTAGAGTAACTGATGCTCCTCTGAAGTGTCACAGACTGTGTAACGTTTCGTGATGTTTTGCAGGTAAACTCTCTCTGGACAACGTGTCTGAGAGGAAAGACAAGATGAGACTCGGGATGACGCTGACCTCCAACCCGAAGGACGGCAGCTTTGTGGTGAGTCACATGACCCAGAACCCACAGAGACCACCTCGGTCTCCGCTCAGCCTCACTTCAGATGACAGAGTGTCTTTGTGTCCCTGTGTGTGTGAATGTGTCCTCAGACCTGTGGTCCTCTCTGGTCCCATGAGTGTGGAAGCTCCCTGTACAGCACCGGGATCTGTTCCAGGGTCAGCCGCAACTTCAGACTGTCCCACACCATCGCCCCGGCCCTGCAGAGTAATCAGAGCACACCGTCTATTAAAACATATATTCATCCATT